CTGATTATGAGTGACTAATAGTCTTTGTAGAAATTGAGAAGAAAAAAATCATTCTTTGGCTCACAATCCAGACGCAACTACTATTACCACCTCAATCTATATTTTATGTCTTTTTTCATCTATTTTTGTCTTTACATAGTTGAGAAAACAGTAGTGAGCACCTGTTGAATCTTCACTACATGTCAGGCACAACTTTAATCTTCAGGGTAACCCTATGAGGGAGATTCTGTAATTATTTCCATTTTATGATAGGGTAGGTTAGGTGAGGCCCTAGGGGATGGCCTCAGGCCTCAGGCAGTCACCTGCCACACAAAAGCCTGGCAATTCAAACCCACCAGCTGCTTCCCGCCAGGTAGCGAGCCTTCTCTTGGGAGCTCTGGTAGCATAGTGCCTAAGGCAGTTGACTGCTAACCAGAAGCCTGGCAGTTCAAATCCATCAGCCACTCCTCAGAAGGAAGATGGGGCAATCTACTTCCATACGGATACTGCCTTGGAAACCCAAGGAGGGGCCATTATGAGTAGGTTCCAACTCGACGGCACATAACAACAACAACAACAGGTTGGGTAACTTGCCTAGGATCACATAGCTAGTTGAAGTGATGCATCCAAGACAGGAACGCCCTTGGCAGTGTGGCTCTGGATCCCAAAAGCTCATAACTACTGCTATTCTTGTGAGGGTCCAGTTTAAATCCTCCTGTTTTCCCCTAAGAGCCTAACTGTAGCATTTACCACTGAAAGTCATTTGCAAGATCGTTTTGGCCTTCTCATTTTAAGAAACTTTTGAAAATAAACTAATTGAGCTACAATATCATGTGAAATGACTAAAGAATAACACTTGTTCAGTTTCTTTGCATCTGGTTTTGCTACTCTTTTCCTGAAAGTATGTTTGTGGGAGTAAGTAAATGACTTATCACAGAATCATCTGGAAAATGGGCCACAACACACTCTCTAGTCCAGAGATTCCATAGGAATGAGGATCCAATGCCCTGGACACATAAAATGTTCCCAGAAGTCCATTTCCCTTGTAGATTCTTTAAAATGCTAACCAGAAATAGAATGCAAAATAGTGTGTGTGTCTATGTGTGTGTATAATACCATGCCATACCTCACTGCCATTGAGTCACCCTCGACTCATAGCGACCCTAAAGGACAGAGTAGAACTGCCCCATAGGATTTCTAAGACTATAAATCTTTATGGAAGCAGACTGCCTCATCTTTCCCCTGAAAAGTAGCTGGTGAGTTAGAACTGCCAATGTTTTGGTTAGCAGCTAAGTGCTTTAGCTACTACACCACCAGAGTGTGTGTGTGTGTGTGTGTGTGTAAAACCCACAGCCATCAAGTTGATTCTGACTCATAGAGACCCCCATTGGGTTTCCAAGGCTGTAAATCCTTATAGAATAGACTGCTCCATCTTCCTTCTGCAAAGTGGCTGGTGGGTTTGAACAGCCGCCCTTCTGGTTACCAACCAAATGCCCTAGGCACTGCGCCACCAGAGCTACT